ATCGACTGTCCATAACAGTTGTGTTCCGGCCGTTCGTCAAGCTACCACCTCAAAGAGCTATATCAGGTCAATATGTTTTGGACTTTCCAAGTCCAAGTCTATCTTTTATGTTGTTTAGATGTCTCACTCTTCCAGCTTAGAATGAACCTCTTTTGTATCAAAATACTGCTCAGCTACTTCAAACATCAATTCCCTCTCAAAATGTTTAAAACCGTCAACTCTTTTCTCAATTAAATCGAAATAAACCGTATTTTGCTAAGTGTTTTTTTTTTCATCACTTTATCATAATTTAGAATACAAAACAGCTTATCAATTTTCAGCTCATCAGTTTTTATCTCATCAATTGTCTTCTTAGTGTCTTGCCCGCCTGAATGGATTAAAGACGATGAGATGTGTTACATGTACAAAGGAGGCTCCTTCACTTTCACCGATGCCGAGAAATATTGTGGGGTAAGCGCGGTTGATACTGATACTCTATTTTAGTCTCTCCTTTTCTCTTTCTCCATTTGTCCGATGGAGCTGAGACTAGATGAAATGAATTTTGAGGTGAAATGAATGCACTAGGTGGCGAGGCAAATCAGCTCGAGGGCGACGTGACGCTGGGCGATGTAGGGGGGTTTCATTTGCTTCCTCTCCTAGTCCCTCGGTTTCGCTTTCCTCGAACTGTATTTTGTTTCCTTATTAGAAAAGTGCCATATGCTCGCTTAGCGTGTTATTATACGTTCATTTGCAGAGTTATGGTGGAAATCTCGTCACCATGCTCTCAAACGAAGACAAACGACTCATAAAGCATCTTCGACAGAAAGAATCCTTGGTTCATTCAGGCGTGTTGCCTTCCCTGTGGACCATAAGCAGGCGCTTTTTAAGAGAGGTTAGAAAACATCAAGCTCGATATTTAGTTTCTGTTCCACAGGTATTTTTCAAGTAATTTGATTGCCCAATAATATCATGGGCACCAAATAACGTTCATAGCCTCGAATCAACCCGTGTCGACTCTTGTTTACGCGATGAATATTGTTTACAGATGACCAAAGAACATTATCCTCATGAAATGGGTTAAAAAACCCGCACAAAGCCTTAAACATGCATTGTTGTCAGTGCGAGGTCTTTGTATAAACACTTTTTAAACAAGAATTGTAATACTTTTAAACTGTTTTACCCTAAACGCAAATGAAACATTCTGTGGTTTTGCTTTAGTGCGAAACTATCTTCCTGTTCAAAACGTGAAACTTAATCGCCATTTTGGCACCTTCGAAAAGGTTGGGATGGCTCTTAGTAATTTTTCATGCAACAAAATATTTTTTACGCTGAAATTTTCTTAAAAATAGTGGGGTAGTTTTTCACCAACGATAGAGAGACAAAATAACCTAATTCCTCAACTGTTAAGACTCACTTTAGGCACAATGATGAGACCTTCCACCATTTTTGTGTATCCATCTATTTGTCTCATTTACTCCTTTTCTTTGCCTTTATTCTTTTTTTCTTGATTTTTTTCACGACAAAAAAATTAAATAGTACTTATAATGTAAAAGAAAGAATAGCAGTGAACATTCGAGACATTTATCTTACCATTTTTCTTTACTGCAGTCCCATAGTGGATATGATCAGGAAAATAAAGTATGTCCTGTTGTGGCTGCTACCGGAAATATTTCACAGGTTCATTGTGATGAATTTCTGCCTTTTGTCTGCGTGCGAAGGCCAGGTAAATCACATTCAATATCATAATAGTCCATTTTATAGTAGTGATCTTGGTCGCCAAGCCTTCGAACAGGAATGAGGTTAAGGGTGACCTTGTTATGACACAAACCTTGCTGCCTTTCAAATGCAAATTACTTTGTTATTAGGCTAACTAGATACTGGTCTCTATCACAACAAGATCACCTTCAGCCTGACTCGAAATCAAAGGCTTGGCAACCAAGTACACAACTGTAAAATAGCCTATTGATAAATGAATTCTATAGTTGTATTACATGATCATGCTAGATGAATATCCAGACGAAATCATTTAACCTCATCACCCGACAAAAAGAAATAGTAAACTTGTCGAAACGCAACAATCCCCAATTGATAGCTTGATTGTTCATCTGCATGTACTAGTGACTCTAAATTGAAAGACAAAACCATTAAACTTTCATCATCATAGCAGAGATGAGCAACAATGTTATAATCATCATTACCACTGAGGCGCACTCTGTCGATAATTTTGCCTGCTATGACGCGCTATATCATCATTGCCATTGTTACTATCATAATAAGATAAGCGCTTCTGTGCATAGCACCACGCCCCACAGAAGCATGTTTGATATGCAGAGTCTATAACGTGTATTTCCTCTCGTAGAATAAATAAAAGGACATCAATTCACGTTAAATATTTCTACAAGTACTGAATCACAGTAAAAACCAAGGGGAAGAGAGGGTTTCCATTCAGGCCCCTCTCGTGTCCTGTCCCTCGGCGGGGGTGACACCATGTCTCAGGAATATGCTTACTACTTATGAAGGAAGCAGGTACCAACTAGATAAACTTCCTTTTGGTTTCTTAGTTATCCACTGCCCGAACAGCTGTTTCCATAATGGGGACTGCATAGGTGCCACGTGTTTCTGTTACCCCGGATGGACTGGAGACGACTGTTCCAAGTTTCACTGCCACGACTTGCATAACTGTTCTGGTAAAGGTGACTGCATGGGTCCCAATGCCTGCAGATGTTACCCCGGATATTTAGTAAGTGGCATTTCTTTTCAATTCCATAATAGTTCATAACTTTGTTGACTGTAGCAAGTTTGATACCTGGTTAACAGGGCCACTTTTAAAAAACTGGAATCAGCCTTGGCTGGATAGAAACTAGATTTGTGCTGCTGGTTCTGTGTGTGAGTGATTTAGTGTGCTCTCAGTAAGTGATCAAGAGTGTTAAACTTTATCTCTTAGAAATCAGATCTCAGGCGTCTTTATGGTTTATGTAATGTTAATCTCCACCATCTAAAACTCATATGAAAACTTATCTTAAAGCGCTTTTCGATGTTCTGCGGAAAATCAGTCTTACACAATTTGACAGATCGCCAATAGATGGAAGAAGGAGAAGTGAGATCGTGCTATAACCTCGCATTGAGCTTCCAGCACATTTGAACAGAATTTTGGAAACGCTAGGTTAACTTTTTGAAATGTAGTCGCCACTAAGGACTCTAAAATGTCTTTAGCATTCTAATCTGATCAAAAGGACACCAGTCACTGCGCTTTCATGAATTTTCAACCATTGTGTTCGAGACCCATCGGTTCCGTCTCTGATCGCATGAGAACAGTAGTAATTATCTTTTCCAACACAACCTAATGCAGGAAAGTTTATGGATGTTTCTTCAGGGTCTTGGCTGCACTTACTCCTTCTGTGGAAAGTACGAAAATTGTGCTGATTGCGTGACAGACCCATTTTGTGGATGGTGTGACAGTTCACGCTCCTGCCTCGGAGGTTTTGCCGCGGGGCCTCCAGGAATAAGTTGTCCCGCTTGGTTTTACTACCACTGTTATACAGTAGGAGACGGACGTTGTTCACGAGATATAATGGTAGGTGAAGAGGAGAAAAATAGTTCATGGTGCGAACACATCAACACTATGCTACAATCAGTTCGATATAAGTAATCAATGCAAGAGAGACGGGAAGGGGCGGCACTAGCGAGTGTTGCTTATCAGTTGGTTAGATATGTATTTCCGGATTATCTTTTGCTTGTTTGTTTCCTTTTTGTTTTATGCTTCGCTGTTTTTATTCTTTATTATAACCATCTTAAATCCAGCGGCCCCTGACCATGAGAGCGCTCTCCGCTTCAAACACAAAGCAAACAAGCTGTAGTTTTACCTGATTGCATACCGGTTTATGATTATAACTCTCTGTGTTTTGGTTGGTTTTCCTATCAGTTTCCCGATATACATTTGTGCTGCTACGCATCGAAGGACACCGTGAAATTGAGTTGCCCAAGAAAACCGAACAAAACATATGCACTGCTAATGCACCATAGTCTCTGGGCACGATGATTGGTAGAATAGCTCAAAATACTGCGCTACTCAATGTTCCATGCTTATCGTCTAACGAAAAGTGTCTTCACATATTTTTTCTTAAACAGAGGGTGAATTGTAGAGGTAGGCATTGCAACTTCAAAGATGGAGGAGCGACCATTGAATCTTGTCAAAAATGCAGCGATCTCGAAGGATGTCACAAAATCACAGTAAGATTTTTATCTTTACTTTCTGTTCCTCATCGTTGGTTATTAACAGTGACAGTTTAAGATAGTCTTCAAGGGCAAAAACTGAGTTGAAAGTAATGGTACATATATCTAGGTGCAAACAGCAACTAACAGTAAGTTTTAGTAAACTCCTTTGATAGAACCAGTTAATCTCACTTGTAGTATCATAACCAGTAAGTAGGAAAATTAAGTATGAAACACTTCGTTTTGAATGAAAACAGAATATTTGAACTATGGGAGTATATCTGGTTAGAAATCTCTACAGCTCTACCTCACTATAATTGCCAACTGCACCGTGCCGTCTACGCCTTCCTTCCCCCCCTCTTTTGTTTAAAAAAAAAAAAAAAAGGGAATCGCAGAAGAAAAGCCGGCAGGGCAAGCGGCAAAAAACCGTTCCCCCCTCTTACCTCAAGGTTTGGATCCGCCATTGTGAAGGTGGTATTAATCTGTTATCTATTAAACCTCATAACAGGACGACAACCAGTGCAGGTCGTGGAATGAGACTAAGTGTCCAGGCGGGAAAATTAAAGTGAATTATACAGATCCCCAGAGAAGAAATAATGTGGAGTTTGCTAAAAACGTGAAGTTTGTGGAGCCTAACGAGACTCTCGTTTACGCATGTCCAGTAATTTTGCCAAATCAGGAGAAGGTGTCGCTAGTTTTAGTTGCACCAAAAGTCCTAAAATTTCATAAGGGTGATATACTTTGTAGTCCTCAGGCAGGAGGTATTATGCATAAGATTGTCAAAGAAATCAGCGATGGTGAGTGTAATGGCTATAAATTTCTGTCACAACCTTTACATAGTCCTCGACCATATCGATCAGTTGAATACTTGAGAGTTTGTGGTTTTAAAAAAGCTCTGCGTTAGTAATTCTTTTAAGGGGCATGGGCTGTAAATGGCTGACATTGGCTTGCTACCAAGTGTCGCTGGAAAAGTTTTCCCGATTTTTTTCCAAGAACTGTACTCCATGAAAATATCAACTATAAGATAAGCCATCTGGTTACCGTTGTGAATTGTTTGAGATCTTACTGGACTACAACTTGATTTAAGTACAATTAATAGCGAAGGCATCTCTAGAACATACCTAATTGTGTTCAATGTTCAAATTTATTATTGTCTCGAAAGGTCCTTTTCAATTGATGTTGAGCGCCCCAGCAGGGTTAGAAGAGGTTATCAAGTATGCAGACTTTAAAGACGAAGTAACTGCGGTGCAAGTAGACGACGACTCGACGTTTGAGGATGAGCCCAATGAAGATGACCTGCGGGACGTTATTACAGGCAACATTACGTTCGATGAGGGTCGGGTAATTGCGCTTTCAAATGGTAGGTTAACATTTTTGTATCAACCAGCTTAATACTTCGTAAATGACTGAAGATCATTTAGTTATATCTACGATTCAACGCGTTGTATAACTCCTAATAAGTGCATGAAAGACACACAAGGGAGCAAACAAGCACAGATACGATAAACAGACATACAAACTATCAGAACCTGCAAGATATTTCTGGTTCGAAAAGTCATACTCAACTAAAAAAAATTCAAACAGATTTCTTAATCATCATTTTTAGAGATATACAAGTGCCTTGGTCACACATACGACACTGGAAAAATCATTGTCCACTCGTTTTACTTGGTAATAGAAAAGAACAATACCATCCCAAAGAAAGGTGACATAGTTGTGTCCAATACTAGTGATGGTTTTATCGAGACTGTTGTTAAAGTTCATAGAACGAACAACACCCATTACTTGGAAACGAAATTTCAGAGATGTGAGGCAAACTCTCATTGGAAAGGCACAAGGTATTTATGTTAATGACGACGCCTTGTTTTAATATTAGGCGGTGAGACGATGACATATCTGCACCAGTATGATTGGGGTAGGAGACATTTGACAGGGAAAAAATATCACCTTCTTTCCCCAAACGCAACGATTTCCCGTAAACTGCACCTAGAAAGTTGTTGACTAATGACCGTGTTGGCATTGTTGTTTAAGACTGACATTTTTGCTTTGATGAAAAATTCACGCATCTATACTTATTAAGTCAACATGTATTTTATCAACTGTTCATAGACTTTTTAGATATATGAATGACTTATTGGGGTTGGCAAGCCTTGGCATGATTACTGGTGACTCAGTAATTTACTTATCGGACAACAAATAGAAAAATATCTTTAGCAACAAAAGTCCCAAATGATTGACCGAAGGAATTCCAGCTGGCTATTAAGAAGCATGAGCGAAAAGCCGAACTCGTTCGAAACCACTTCCGCCCACCACATTTTATTTACAAAAGTATTGTCGATAGAACTAAAATCTATCTACAATTATTGTGCATTAAGCTGTTAAAGTGTAGGGGATTCTAGCCTGAAATCCAGGACCTTAGATGCCAGGCTCAACTTATCCTTAAGTTTTCGTTTGAGTTAATTTACTTTTACTTGCTCCCACAAACCAGACTACAGGAAAGTAAAACAAGGCTTTCTGGGTCAGTATCCTGCAGCGGAGGGGATAACAACGAAGGCCTTCTTCTGTCAAAACCAGAGGATGGAGATCGGCATTTTTTTGTCAATGACTCAATTATTGGAAGACCAAGTGGAGCCTTCATTGCAAAGGTAATGTTCGTATTTCGTGAGGTCTATGTTAGATTAACAAATTAAATTACAAGCATTTTAGATCACTGAATACTAAGACTTAACGTGGTCGGTTGCAAAGAGTGCTTCCATCGTTCAGAAACTGGAAACTTATAGCATGTCTCTTAATAGAGTGACAAGTCAACTCAACAAACTTCAGGATATTTAATTTTAATAGGATTGTTATTACCGTCCCCAGGAGTTAAATAGTGTTCTCCTCTTGGGGAAAGAAAAATGTATTCATGATTCGAGATTTTTTTGGTGCGTTTATACCAGGTTGAAATCGAGCTAGATGAAGTTGTCTTTGTTGAGTTGTGTCATTTGTTTCATCGTTGTCATTTTTTTCAGCTGCTTTTACATTTGGTAATCATCTGAGCTAACTCTACCATCTTATATCACCTCAAACCTCAGGTTGTAGAAGTCTACTCCAGCGGAAATTTTCTTCTGGTGGAAGTAATTTCTGCCAAATTGGACGGAAATGGAACCATTACTACAGCTGTAGATATAAACATACTGAAACGCCACAACAGACGAAGTAGGCGGTCGACGAGATTCGATTTCGAATTGGCAAGTTTCAAACCCGACAGCATACATCACAAGGTACAGCACCTTTTAATAGTTCTACAAAAGTATTTTAAACAAACCGAGAATTAGGTAAATGCTATGTTAAGTTTGCTCTCTAATATCTATCTAAATCCTCTCAGTTTCCCCCCAAAATTATGTCCTTTAAAATTTTCATTTTCCTCAGTTGTTGTCAACGGAGAACGCCAAGCTACAAGTCTCTTTGGAAATGTTTTTCGAATTGACTATGTTTCTTGAGATAGAACCAAAGTGGTATGGCGGAATAGAGGATGCGGCTGTTGGTCTGGAGTTAGAGGGAAAATTAGATTTCTCTCTGACATTTGAAGTTGATGGGGAGTTGAGGTAAGCAATTTTAATTTAAGCCCAAGATTACCCCGAATAATTCTTTCGGCAAAAGAAAATAAAATGAAATCTGAGAAACTGACGTTGCTGTGGTGGACAGTTTTTCGTTCTTTTCTGCGATGAAGCCAATATATTTTTTTTAACATTGATTCTTGTGTCATTTTGAGGTCCAATATGGTCAGCTTACGAGCAAAAGACGACCTAGCTGATCGGGATTAATTAATCATCCTTTTTATGTTTGCCTACAGATATAAAAAAGACCTAAACATCATGAAAGAAAAACAGCTCGGTCGTTCAATTTACATTCCCGTTGGGCCAATTAAAATCCCTGCCGGTATCTTCTTGGAAATAACAGGACATGCATCTGCTGGATTATCTGTAAGTTGGCGATGCAATTCACCAACGTTTTAGTTTAACCACTGGCCTTGAAAACATCACAGCTCTCTCATTTAATGTCTATTATTTAAAATGATTGTACGCTATCATGAAACACTTCAATGAGTTAACACAAGCAAATGTATTTCCTCTATTGCCTATTCAGTCGCAGTCGGTGACCCAGTCAGCAAGCTACTCAGTCAGTCAGCTATTCAGATTTACTATTTTTTGGTTGGTTGGTGCGAAATCAATGATGGGATGTAATGATTGCGTCCTACCTGTTTTAGTTGTCTCGACGAGATCAAGAAGAACCAAAACACAAACGTGACCCAGCAAGACAACAAAGATTCAATAAGTATAGTGCCGTGGCCAAGAAGTTCGCAGCGGCAATTTATGCTTTCAAGTAGTTAAGGAAAATATCGTCCATATACAAAGAGATTGAATTAACTCACTGTCTCTTTTTTTCCCTAGGGAAAAATTTCCCGTGAATTATCAGTCAACGGAAGGGTCTCTCTTGGAGGCGAATGCCGTTGGAGCCGTGGTAGTTGCTTCGAAACTGCTGATACTGTAAGGGAAAAAAAAATTACACAGTAATGTTTTAGTTTCTTCATCATTCAAGTGTTAGATGTACTCTATAAACTTTTTGCCGTTGGACTGGTCCCTACCTGTTGACAAAATGGCGGCTTGTACCTCTTGATCTGTGTCAAGGATTGCAACACTGCTAATTTTTCACAAAGCTGTTCCAAATCAACAGATTTCTGAGCTTTTCCGTGATTAGCACCGTTATACGTTTGTGGGTTCTCCGTGATTAGCACCGTCATACGTTAGTGGGTTTTCCGTGATTAGCACCGTTATACGTTTGTGGGTTTACCGTGATTAGCACCGTTATACGTTTGTGGGTTTTTAATTTATCACGATCTCAATCAAGTCAAAACTTATTTGGATGATGTCTTTAAACATTCGTCTTCTTAAAATTATTCTTATCAATTATCCTCTTGCTAAGAAGATGAAGGCCTAGCGTTCTCGCTTTGCATTTAGGATAGAAAAAAAAAATTGAACGCCTCGTCACTGT